GAGGCTGAGGCCTTGTCAGAGAGCTCGGAGCAAGGTACCCTCCCCACTGCCTCCGCCTGGGCAGCGCTGCCTCCAGTCTCGCTCTCCTTGAGTCTTGACTTGTTGAGGTCCCATGTCCTGGCAGCTCCCATCAGCACACAAGTGTTGGGGTGCAGCCTTGGAGGTCTGCTCCCACAGCTCTGGGCCCCACTCAGTGTGCTGCTGTCCCCCCACCAGTGCTGTCGGCTAACTGGGGCCCACATCTGCATCCTCCAAGTAGCAGATGGCAGGTCACGGTCCCTAGGTGCTGAAGACCTTTCCTTGCCACTCCCAGATGCTCCCAGGGCCTCCCCCTCCTAGGTTCCTAGGTGGGACTGCTAGGTTCCTGGGGGCTCTTCTCCATCTGCTTCAGCGCTGCCCTTCTCTGCAGAAATGGAGGTGGAGCCGGCTAGCAAAGGAGAAGAGGAGCGGGAAGAGGAGGGCACGGGGCCAGCAGTGGTGAAGGAGGAGGGGCCTCAGCTGGAGAATGGAGACGCCCCGGAGGAGAACGAGGAATCAGCAGGCACAGACTCGGGGCAGGAGCTCAGCTCAGAGGCCCGGAGCCTGCGCTCCGGCACCTACGGGGACCGCACCGAGTCCAAGGCCTACGGCTCCGTCATCCACAAGTGCGAGGTGCGGGCCGCGGGTGGTGCCAGCCCTCCGTCGCGCTCCCGCTGCAGCCCCTCACCACGCCTTCCCGCTGCGCCCGCAGGACTGTGGCAAGGAGTTCACGCACACGGGGAACTTCAAGCGGCACATCCGCATCCACACGGGGGAGAAGCCGTTCTCATGCCGGGAGTGCAGCAAGGCCTTCTCGGACCCCGCTGCGTGCAAGGCGCACGAGAAGACGCACAGGTACCTGCGCCGCCTCCCCACTGTCCAGGCTGCGCGCTCTGGGCCCCGTGGGCGCGCCCTTCCCTGACTGCGCCTCCCACCACCCAGCCCCCTGAAGCCCTACGGCTGTGAGGAGTGTGGCAAGAGCTACCGGCTCATCAGCCTGCTGAACCTGCACAAGAAGCGGCACTCGGGCGAGGCGCGCTACCGCTGCGAGGACTGCGGCAAGCTCTTCACCACTTCTGGCAACCTCAAGCGACACCAGCTGGTGCACAGTGGGGAGAAGCCCTACCAGTGCGATTATTGTGGCCGCTCCTTCTCCGACCCCACATCCAAGATGCGCCACCTGGAGACCCACGACACTGACAAGGAGCACAAGTGCCCTCACTGTGACAAGAAGTTCAACCAGGTGGGCTGCTGGAGCCCCCTGCTGATGGCGAGGAGCAGACAGGGCCAGAGGGAAGCTGCCAGGGTCCGCAGAGTGGCTGTCCCAGGAGGGTGCGCCCGCTGCTCTGTCCAGGCAGCCCCAGGCAGGTGGAGTCTGGCGGGGGTTAAATCAGAGAGAGCCGGGCGGCAGGCATGTCCTTTCACTGCTGGGACTTGGAACATTCCATCTGGCTTGAGAAGACAGGGAGCCACTCCAGCCCACTGAGAGACCTGAGTTTTAGTGGTTCCCTAAGGGAGGGGGAGGGGAGGGGATCAGAGGCCAAGTGCTTGGGGTGGCCCTTCTGACCCCCTCCCTGGGCACAGGTGGGGAACCTGAAGGCCCACCTGAAGATCCATATCGCGGACGGGCCTCTCAAGTGTCGGGAGTGTGGGAAGCAGTTCACCACCTCAGGTAGGCCCAGGGCTGCCCTGGCTGCCCTCACAGCCCTGCTCCTTGGCCCCCGGGCCCCATGCCAGGCCTGCCATGGGTCTCACCACAGGGAACCTCAAGCGGCACCTTCGGATCCACAGCGGGGAGAAGCCCTATGTGTGCGTCCACTGCCAGCGACAGTTCGCTGACCCCGGTGCTCTGCAACGGCATGTCCGCATCCACACCGGTGGGTGAGCAGCCCCTGTGCTGTGGGGGCCCGGGTGGGGCGCACAGGGAGAGGTGGGTGCTGATGCCTTCCCCTGCCTCTGTCCTCAGGCGAGAAGCCTTGTCAGTGCGTGATGTGCGGCAAGGCCTTCACCCAGGCCAGCTCCCTCATCGCCCACGTGCGCCAGCACACTGGGGAGAAGCCCTACGTCTGTGAGCGCTGCGGCAAGAGGTGCCCCTCTCCCCCATGCCAGGGTGCTGCCCATAGTGAGGGGGTTCTGTTGGGAACTGGGCAGAGTGCCACCCCAGCCCCAGGCTTTGCTCCCAGGGTCCTGTCTGATCCATATGTGGCCAGAGGCCTCTCAGTCTGGCTGGGGATGGCTTGAGCAGATCAATCTAAGCCCCTCCCCTTGGCCCTACAGATTTGTCCAGTCCAGCCAGTTGGCCAATCACATCCGGCACCACGATAATATCCGCCCACACAAGTGCAGTGTGTGCAGCAAGGCTTTTGTCAACGTGGGGGACCTGTCCAAGCACATCATCATCCACACTGGTGAGCATGTGCCCACCCACTGCACATCTCCCTGCTCAGCCCGACTTGCAGGTGGGATGGGTGAGAAGGGGGGACCCCTGGATCCCAGCCTTGGCTGCCCGTGGCCCTGGAGGCAGTTCAGTTGAAGTGTGGACCCCTTAGAGCTTCCAGTGGGCCAGTTGCTACTGGAGGAGGCTGTCAGCTCGGTGGCCACCCCAGAGCTTCCTGCTGGACAAGACAGGGCTGCAGGGGAAGCCGAAGCCTGGACCCCCCGTCCCCCCCCACCCCGCTGCCCTCCACCATGGCAGGAGCGAACCTTGCCTCCCCCCAGGAGAGAAACCTTACCTGTGTGACAAGTGTGGCCGCGGCTTCAACCGAGTGGACAACCTGCGGTCCCACGTCAAGACTGTGCACCAGGGCAAGGCTGGCATCAAAATCCTGGAGCCAGAGGAGGGTGGTGAGGTCAGCGTGGTCACTGTGGATGACATGGTCACGCTGGCCACTGAGGCACTGGCAGCAACGGCCGTCACTCAGCTCACAGGTGAGGGCCGTGGGCAGCAGAGGGTAGTCACCTGTAGCTTGCCTCGAGTGGCAGTAGCGGGCACATGTCTCTGGCCTTTGCCTCAGGGCCTGCCCATTCTGTTCACAGTGGTACCAGTGGGGGCTGCGGTGACAGCTGATGAGACGGAGGTACTCAAAGCCGAGATCAGCAAGGCCGTGAAGCAAGTGCAGGAGGAAGGTGAGGGGGCCGCCCAGGGTGTGAGCCCCGGGGAACCAAGGGCCCTGCCCACCCTGACTGCCGCCCCCACCTCCACAGACCCCAACACCCACATCCTCTACGCCTGTGACTCCTGCGGGGACAAGTTCCTGGATGCCAATAGCCTGGCTCAGCATGTTCGGATCCACACCGCCCAGGCACTGGTCATGTTCCAGACTGACGCGGACTTCTACCAGCAGTACGGGCCGGGCAGCACGTGGCCAGCTGGGCAGGTGCTGCAGGCCGGGGAGCTGGTCTTCCGCCCTCGGGACGGGGCTGAAGGCCAGCCTGCAATGGCAGAGACCCCACCCACAGCTTCTGAATGCCCACCGCCTGCTCAGTGAGCAGGCAGCCCTTCTCTTGACTGTTTATTTAAGGACGGATGGCACCCTGGAACTGAAAAGGGCAGCCCATTCCCTAGAGAGAATAAATTTGATTATTTTCTAATGCTGCCTGTAGGTCCCTGTGGGGGTGGGCCGGTGCTGGCAGCTGTGGCTGATGCCACAAGAAGGCTGTGCCACAAGAAGGCTGCACAATCCAGGGACCAGCTCTCTTCAAAGAGCCCTGCTGCTCCTCCTGTGGAGCATAGCCAGGATCCGTCCATGCCCAAGCCAACTGCCTTATCCACAGTGGGTGGAGCAGCACACAGGGCCGTGACCCCAGCCAGCACCACTGTGGCCTTGCTCCCCTCGCCCGGGGGTTCAGCCGGGGAAGGGACCAGTGGGAAGGACCACAACTGTTCACAGAGACCTAGGTGACCAAGAGCCCAGTCTATGGTCTCAATGGCTTTGCCTCCTATGACCACGTCTGTTGGGCCTGCCCTTGGGTACTCTCAGCCAGGCAGACGGAAGAGCCCTTCCTCCCAGGACCATGGCCCCTGTCTCCAGACCCCAATACCCACATCCTCTGCGCCTGGTTTTCCCCTGTGTCAAAGTCTGAAGTGCCTTCCGCATTACCTGGGAACCATTTGGGGCCTTGACGTTTCAGTGGTGTCTGCACCACAACCTTGGAAAATTTGTTCAAGTTCACTGTCCATGTCGGGCAGCAAGGGGCAGAAGAACATGTTGGGCTCTGTGCTTGCTTCACAGTAGTGCCAGTGCTGGGAGGCCAGTGTCATCCTGTGGGAACAGTTTACCTGCCTGAATCAGTGAAGCCTCCACCTGGAGGGACAAAGGAACAGTGGAAACAATGCTAGCAGGGCTGCCCATCCTCCTTCCTGGTGACAGGGAGGCCCCTCTCCTGGGGTCACCCACAGCCACAGCCAACCCTCCTGTCTTGCACAAGCCCACAGGCCTGTTTGTAGTCCTGTTGTGACAGTGAGAAGACACCCAAGACTGTAGTCCCCATATCCCTGTTCCTACCTTCGGATCCAGCCCCACGGTGGTATGGGGGCAAGGGCCAGGTGGCCCACCACTCCCCCCGCCCCAAGCAGGCACAAGGTTAAGGGAGTCCCAGAGAGCAGCACTAGATCAGCTCGACCCCATCCCACCAAACAGAAGGGACAAGGCGAGGCAGATGGAGTTAGTCTGTAGGGGTCGTTTCACTCATGTGAGCAGCTGAAGCGCCTCCGGCACTGCCCAGGAGTGACTCGGAACCCTGGAGCTTCACAAATTTCTTAAGCCACAGCACTGGAAAATGTTGACAGCCCAGCACTGGTGACAAAAATCACTCTTGTACCAGATAAAATGCTTGCTGGGGAGCATTAAGTGGCAGAAGAAAGGAAAGAGGCCCTGTAGACTTGGGGGTGGGCAAAAGCAAAGCCAGGGCAAGGGCGAGCTGTTCCCATAACCAAGGACCCTTGGTTCTCCCACCCCAGTGACAATCACATCCACACTTGAGGTGTTTTGTATTTTTTAATAAAGTTTGTAATCCAATGGACACACAAAACAAAACTGCGCTGAGAAAAACAGTTTCATAAATTAATAAGTGTTAGGAAGTTGGGGAGAGGCCCGGGTCACAGGAGGAGGGGACTGGCCAGTCTTTGTACAGGTGCTGTGTGACACTTCCATGTCGCGGGAGCGGGGCCCGTGCTGTACTGAAGCGCACTTATACAAATGAGTGACAATACAAAGTCTGAGTATGAAAATAAGATTTTCTCTGAAAACACATTTTTGGCACAGATTAAAAAAAATGTATGTCGGGGAATTTTGATTTTTTAAAGTCAGTATTATATATATTTATATATATTATATATTTATATATACACACATCCGAGTTCTGCATATCCCACCAAGGAAGAAAATCCTTCTGTTTGCTCTTGTTCGACTGTGAACCGTGCACCCCGGTGAGTCAAAGGTGGTGGCAGCAGGAGAATTAAGAAAGGCGACACGTCCGATGAGCTGGGGAAGGGAGGTGTGGTGGGGCAAAAAAACCCAGTGAAATGTTCCTTGACCCCAAGGTTTCAGCAGAAGTCTGAGTCCTGCAGGAGAGTCCGCGATGTGTGTTCACACACCACATGTCCAGAGCGTCACAGCCTGTCTCACTGTGCAGAAGTCCAAGTCACTAATTTAGTGCAAAGGCAGTTCTGTTTTTCTTGTTTCTTAAAAACAAAACAACAAAAAAAGGAATTCTACTGCCCTGTTCCTTTTCTCTAAAAAAAAAAAAAAGGAGAGAAACAGCCCCAAGGTGTCTGCAAGTCTGTCGGTCGGTGGTCTGTCCTGGACAAAAGCGTCCTGTAAACATACAAGGTAGCAGCACCACCGCCCAGAGGTCTGTCCCACGGAGCTGGGCAGGCGCCCGGGCACGGGAGGATGGCGTCTGTCCCTCCGCAGCTTCTCCTCCGCCTGGCTGAGTTGTCTGGTGTTCATTTTTTGCAGCAGAGCCTTGGGAAAATGCCCTGAGGTGATGACCATCCGCGGCTCACACAGAGGCAATGACAATCATGAGGTGGGGAGAGATGTTGGAGATGCTGGCAAGGAGGTCAGGGGCCAGGCGGGACAGGTGGCTCTCGGAGAACTCGCAGGGTGGGAAGATCTGTAGCACATAGGCGGGCTGGAGAAGGGGCGAGAGAAAGTGGGACCTTCTGCCTTCATGTCACCCTCCCCACTACGCTCCCAGCAGGCCCTGGAGAGGCCGGGTGCAGAGGCAGCCTAGGTCAGCTTCCCGGCCACGGCTGTCAGATGAAAGCAGCGCCAGGAAGCTCTTGCCGCCGGCCTCTCGGTCTCTCTGCCCAGCGAGAGGAAATCCTCTCATCTGCTCCCCTGGCTCTTCTCTTGAGGACAGCAACACACTGCTTGTTGCCTCGACCCAAAAATGCCTTACTGCCCAGCAGCGCCCTCTAGCTGGCACTGGTGATCCAGGCCAGCACGCTGGCCAGCCCCCCTGTTCCCCACTGGCACACACTCGTGGGGCGGGCAAGAGCACAGACTGACCTGATTGGAGCCAGGATTGGGGACGTTGATGATCCCAGCTGCCTGCTTGGCCTGTAGGTAAGTGATGAAAGCAGCCTTAAGGGACTCGGTCTGGCTCACCACATCCTCTTGGTCACGACCACAGGGCAGAGCCAGCAGCAGACAGTAATCAGTCTCCACCTGGGGCAGAGAGGCCAGTGGTCAGGGGCCTTAGTCAAGTGTAGCCTTGTTCAACCCACGGTGTTAAGCCCACGGGAACCCCGCCTTCGAGATGGCCTGAGGTTCACCCTGGTATTTGTTCAAAGAAAGAAAGCCCTGCTGCTCTGTTTTGGGTCGAGGTGTTTTACTCCAGGGCCATCAGTGCCTTCCTGCCTGGGGTAGGGTCAGGGGCTCTCCAGGACCTCTCGAATCTTACCGTCATTCTTCGGGCAACCCCCTCCAGCTGTGAGGCTTCTAGCCGCATTCTCTGGGCGATCCTCAGGGGGGGGCCTCCTTCAGACAGGGGGAGGCTCCGGTGGGCCAGGACGTTGTTGCCAGAGACGAAGTGGAGCTGCACGGCAGCCGTGTCGTTCTTGAGGGCCAGCAGGCCTTGCCACACGATGGGATACTTCTGCTCACAGGGGACAGAGCAGAAGCACACTCAGGGCCAAAGGCCAGCCATGCCGGCCACAGCCCTAGCGGATCTGTCATGGGGAACCCCAGGACATTAGCACGGCACAGAGTGGGAAAGAGAGGGCAGGGCCCCGTGCTTACCTTCAGAAGCTGGACCATATCCACAGGCCTCTGGGAAGTCAAGTGTGGAGAGGAATCTTGCTTGGATGCTGGCTGGGCTTCAGTGTGTGGCAGAGGAAGCCCTGGTGGGGTGCTGGGGCCCGAGGTTGTAGGAACAAACAACGGCTGCTTTGGGGCAGCCTGAGAGGGAAGAGGGGCTGGGAGATCAGGCTTCATGGAGACAGACACAGGGGACGGGTAGGACGTCTGGCTGGCTTCCACCTGTGCCCTCTGAACCTGGGCATGGGGCTCAGGTGGCCTGCTGGCAGGGACAGTTTGGAGGCGAGGCTGCTCAAGTCCTCCTGTCTGGGTCCCCTTTGCCTCTTGGGAGACCTGAGGCATCTTGCTAGTTGGTGGCTGGCCAGGCTGGCTGAGCGGGGAGGGCTGGCATGGTGGCACAGGAGGGGCAGGCTGCGAGGGCTGCACTGGCTGGGCAGGCTGCGTAGACTGTGCAGGCTGCGTGGACTGCAAGGCCTCACCTTCAGGAGGGCCCTAGAGTTGGAAGGAAGGCAGGGGACACAATCAGAGTCTGCTACACACATGTCACTGAACCCAACAAAAGATCCAAGGGACAACAGGAAAAAGTCCAGTTGTGGGGCAACTCCATCCAGTTCAGAGCACACAGCAGCGTTAACCAGCCACGGCTCTTGGGGACCCTGGTAAGGTGAAGTCACCGTGACCTCCCTCCCCACCAACCATTCCCACAGAACTCTTTCCCCACGTCTAGTTTTCCAATGTGATCTGATTTTGTCACCCCCAGGCTTAGGAAGTCCCCTTTCAGCCCAAGCTTGCCTGTACCTTGGCAGTGGCTTGGCCCAGAGGCTGACTTCCTAACCCACCTGCACTTGAAAGCCACAGAGTTCCCCAAGCGCATGGCCAAAAGATGGAGGAGGCACCCAGCACCCTCACCTGGGCGGGAGTCTTGGTCCGAGTTGGGAGCCCAATTGAGGAAGCAGCAGGAAACTGAGTGTGTGTGAGCTGGGCCGGAGCGTGGTAGGTCCGGATGTCCCCGTATCTGTACTCCTGGAACAACTCTCCACTGGAGTGCACTATCTGCACCCCATGGGTCACCACCACAGGTGGGGTCAGAGGCAGCCCTTGGAGTTGGTTGCTGGGGGTGACCGTGAGGATGCGGGCCTCGCTGTGAGGAGGGGCAGGGGCGGGGGCAGGTGTGGTCTTGGCATCTGGGGTCTTGGCAGTCTCTTTCCCCATTTGCTGAGGGGCCTTGCTGGCTGGTGGCACCTTCACGACCCCCTCTGCAGGTCTGGGTTGCTCGCTGACGGCCGTCACGTGTGGGTGCACCATGATCCTCACGTCGCGGGGCACTGTGTACGGGTGCAGCCGGTACTCGGACTGCATGACCAGCACCTCTGACTGTACAGGGGCCGCGGCTCGAGCCACAGGGAGGTGGTAGTGCACCTCCTCCTCAGGAGGGTGCTGGGGGGCCAGGGCAGGCACCCCGGCCGTGGCTGGCTGCGGAGTGCCGGCACGCTGCGGGGCCCTGACTTCTATCTGTTGGGGCTGCAGGGGGGCCCGAGGAGAGTGCAGCGTCTCCGGCCGGATGCTATAGGTGATGCTGGGCAGCGTGGGTGTGTTCATCCTCACCTCCCCCTGGGACAAGTGTCCCAGGGACACAGTCTGGGTGATGCTGTGTGGTGGCATGATGACAGACTGCTCCGGGTGTATGCTGGAGATGAACTGCGGCACTGGGATGCCTGCGGCCAGCATGACCGTGGCATTGGTTGAGAGCGCTGTGGAGGTGGTGCTGTTGGGGTGGCACGCCCTTGGGAACGGGGACGGTGTGGGCCCACTGGGTCGAGGAGAATGTGCGTCTGGCTTTGTGGCTGCCAAGTGGGAGACAGTTCGATCTGTCGGGGTGCTGGGCCCTGAGGTGATGTGGTTCACTTCTGCAGGCAGTTTGCTAGGCAAAGCAGGAGGATGGTGGGGTGTCAGAGTGGACCCCAGATTGGCTGGCTGAAGGACCTTGGTCTCTATTTTGAGGGTGACGGGGTCGGCAAGTTTTTTATTAGTGGTGACTATGCTCGGGGTGAGGACCAGCTGGTTGTGAACCAGCACTGGGGGGGTGTTTATGCCCTGGGTGAGAACCTTCACTGTGCCACCCTGAGTGACAGGTGTGGACACAGAGAGGTGAATGGGCTCTGGCTTCTCCAGTGATGGACGGTCAGCCTTAACAGATGAAATCACAGGGGAGGCATTGTATGTCTGGGCCGTCAGGACCAGGGTGGAGTGGGTGGCCACGTTGGCAAAGCCTGAGGGAGCCTGAGGGCCTTTGGGTGCAGACTGTGATGGTGTAACAGAATCGGGTTTGACCTGGGACTTTGACACTGACTGCTGAAATTCGATGTCCATTGCACTGGCCGGGGGTATCTGACTAATCTTGGCGCTGATGCGCTGGGGCCCTTCAGTCTTCTGCCCTGAATAGCTCAGGAGCACAACGCCTTCCGAAGTGTTCACACGCAGCCCGGCGCCAGAGCCCGTGTCTGCCGGGCGGTCGTCAATCACAGACATGGACCCAGGGTGGAACCGACTGTTTTCATTACTGCTCGATCTCTGTTTGCACTTTGCTGATGGCGCAATCACTGCACCAGTCACGGTCGCTGCGCCTGTTGTAGCAGTTGCACCACCAGATGCAGCAGTCACCGTCCCCGCTGTGACAGTCACTGCCCCTGCAGTGGCATTCACAGCGCCTGTGGCTGCATTCACTGCACCTGTGGCAGTGTTCACGGTTCCCACGGTGGCGTTCACTGGAGTGGTGAGGACGTTCACTGGCGCCGTGAGGACGTTCACAGGCCCCTTTAGGACGTTCACAGGCCCTGCAGGGGTGCTCACCAGACCTTTGAGCGTGGCCACCGAGCCCTTCACAGGGCCTTTCAGGGCATTCACCGGGACCAGAGAGACATTCACCAGGCCGGTCAGAGCGCTCACCAGGCCGGTCAGCGTCTGAGGAGCGGGCTTGGCCAGCGTTATCTTTTGCGAATTCTCCAAATCAATGCTGACGGGCATCCGGCTAATGACCGATGTGATTTTAGGAGCAATGACTGGGGCCACCTTTTCCTTGTCGGTGGCTACGGGAGCCTCCAAGGCTTGTGTGTCAGAGGTGTTTGTTACCGGGGCCGCTGGTTTCTCTTCTAAAGGAGGCTTTTTAGATTCAACTGGAGGGGGTGGTGCCTCGTGAAGGCAGGGGGCAGCACTCACAGGCTCTGCAATGGCCGTGGTGACACTTGTGGAAGTGACACCTGTAGCGGACACATATTTGGGGTCCATGAGGATCTTCCTCAGCGTACTAGAACTGGTGTCCACGTCAGAGGCCTTTGTGTCTGGGGGAAGAGCTGGAGACGGCGTGGACTGAGTCCGCGGCTCCTCCTGCCTTGTGATCCATTCTGTCACCTTAGCAGGGGGACTCTGGTTTGGAACGGCCCCAGAGGTGATAAGAGGTGGTGGAAGCTTTGCAACAGTCACAGAGGGAATTGTGGGTGGGGGTATGCTCGAGTCGCTGGGCGGGGTCACTGGGTCACTTTCAATGATTGAATGTACCTTGAACCTGGCCTGCGCCTCCTCATCCACGGGTGCTGGCTGGGCAGGGGTCGGGAGGTCTGGGGGCGCGGGCGCTTTGGTTGGAGTTTTCTCCTCAATGTTGCTTTCCTGTGCCGGACTCTCGGGAGGTGGAGTCTTGCTTGGGTCGGAAGCACATGCCTGAGGAGGGGGGGACTGAGGCTTTTCACTCTGCTTTTCCTCCTGTGGGGGTTCTGGGGGGCGTTCGGGTGTCCCCTCATCCGCTGCAGGGCTCTTGCTTGGAGCGGGGGCCGGCTCGGGGGCAGGGGTTTCCGCAGCAGCACCTGCCTTCTTGTTTGCATTGCGCTTGCGGCGAGATCGAGTTGTCTTCTGCCGCCCTTTGTCCTTACGAGTGGGAGCAACTTCTGCTTCCTTTGACGCTTTGGCTTCCTGCTCCGGTTGGGAGGGCTCACTGCTATTCCCTCTGCCTTCCTTTGCATCTGCTGGGCTTGCTGAGGGGTCAGGGGCGCTGGCTGGTGGCCCTGAAGACTCTGTAGCGGCCTCTGTCTCCAGGATGCCAGACACGGCCTCATGGGTCTCGGGCTCCATGCTCTGCTCTGGGGGCTGCAGGTCTGCCTGAGATTCTGCAGGGTAAGGGGGAGGTGCAGGGAAGTTTTCTGGCTCCCCAGGAATGTCATTGATGATGGAGCCAATGGCTGCAGCCAGTTCGGTTTCGCTCGCCTGGTGTGCAGGTTTGTCCCTGTCCTCTGTAGCAGGGCCCTGGGATGCACCTGCGGCTGCCGCCTTGAAAGCACTGGCCGAGGTCTCGGTGAGCTTTGCGATATTCTCCACGGCCTGCTCGAGCTCCGTCTGCTTGGCTAGCTGCGTGGCTTCTGGGGCAGACACGTCTTCCTTCTCCGGTTCCTTGCTGGATTCAACTGGATCATTTTTCAGCTGGGATGAGCAGCTACTATCCTTTTGGGGATTCTCACTTTTCTGGGGGGAGGCTGCCGCGATTCCGGCTTCCCTGTCCACGGCCTGCACTGTAGCCCCCTCGGCCACAGCAGGACTGACGGCCGTGTCCAGGGTTTTCAAATGTGCAGCTCTGTCCACTGCTGACCTAGAGTTCCGAGATCTTCCTCTCTTTGACTTGGAATTTTTCTCAGGGGCTGGTTTTTTCTCCACCACTTCAACTGGGGGCGTCTCGGGTACATTTCTGTCCGTGTTGCTTTCTTTTCGATCCCGTTTCTGTTCACTTCCTGCTTCTTCTTTATCAGCCTTGGCCTTGGTGTTATTTTCTTTCGAGTTCACCTGGGGGCTCGCCTCGGTGGCAGCCTCGGCATCGGCTTTTGGCTCGCTCTTCCCCCTTTTCCCCTGGGGGCCGGCCGCTGCTGCTGACTTTTGTGACCTCGGGGACCTCCACCCCTCAGCGGGCCTGGGAGTCTCCGCGGGTTCCTTGGCCTCGTGCTCCTCGTCCTCCTCGGCTCGGCGGCGCGTCTTCGGAGGCCTTCCCCTGCGGGGCGTGGTGGGGACCACTGCGGCGTCCTGAAGCTCTCGCTCCAGGCGCTTCCTGGTCACTCGCGGTTGTTCAACAGGCTCTTTGGCTGGAGAGCGGCTGTCGTGGTCACCCATGGTGGCATAGACACTCCTGACGTTCCGACGCCTTGTGCGGCTCAGGGGCAAACTTGGCTCAGGGTGCTCGGGGTCGGCTGCAGCGTTTCTAGAAGCAGTCCTCGTGATCTTCTCCGCCTCCATCTTCAGTTCTAACAGCTTCTGTGCCTCTCCCCGGGGGGAGCCGGCCCGCTTGAGCTTCTCCCGGTCTATCCTCTCGCTCTTCCTCGTGACAGGCTTCTCCACCACACTGGCTGCCGCTGCCTGAGCAGGGGCCTTGGAGCGCTTGCTTTTGTTTGGCTTTTTATCTTTTGCAGCAACTGGAGGATCAACCACTACGCCTTCAGAAGCTTGAGGCTGCACCTCAGGAGCAACTTCAGCATTTTGGTTCGTATTAGCCACAACATTTGCTGCTGCGTCCGGCTTTTCTGCTTTTGGCTCGTGGGTGTCCTCAGGCTTCTGAGTCAGTTTGGACAGTGGCTGGGTACTGTCTGGTTCCGGATCCTCATTATTCTCTACTTGGGAAAATGAGGCGCCAGGAGTCGGCGGCTTGGTATCCAGGTAAGGCAGCGGGGCTGCGGGTGGACCATCTTCGCCTGTGAGGGGCGCCACGGCGGCATCTTTACTGGTGTCAGCTCCAGGAGACGAGTCTGCCTGCTCTGGTTGCTCCCCAGGGACAGGAGCCACTTCAGCTACGGGCTTTGCTTCTTCTGAGGGGGTGGCTGGCTCCACACTCTTCTCTTCTGTCACTGAAGGCACCTCCACTGTTCTCTCACTGGTCATCCTCTCTGGGGCTGATGACGCTGATTCTGGAGCTGCAGGCGTGACACCAGGGAGCCCTGGTGCACATGGAGTCCTCAGTTCTGGCTCTTTACTCTCAGAAGCAGATTCTGGGGTCTTGGGTTGATTCTCTGCTTCTTCCTGTTTCTCAATCTCTTTGGGTTTTTGGTCTTTTTCTTTTTCTTTCTGTTGCATTCGTGTAAGCTCCATGAATTTGCTGTGGAACAGAACCACAGGCTCCTGCACCGAGTCACTGGTGCTGTTCGTGCCGTCTGATGCCTGCCTCCCGTATAACCTGCCAGAGATGAAGTCAGACTCTTCATCTTTCCTCTCTAGATGCTGCAGTCGCTTGGAATCTTGTTCAAAGATTGAGCTGTGTAAAAAACGAGAGGCAAATAATTCTTGCCTCTCCTGCTCCTCTTCTTTATGATCATCTTTTTTATCATCCATTTTCCCTTCTGAATCAGTCCTGATCTTCTTCTTTTTCAAGTACCAGGACGGAATAGGCCTTGGAGCAGAGTCAACCTTTTCTTTATCTTTGTTGTTTCGAAAGTTAGCAAATCGGGAGTCCCAATCCAGAAAGGACCAATTTTCTTCTCGGGATGAAGAGAGGGATTTAGCTCTTTCAAGCAAAGCTTTAGTGTCTGGTGTGATTGTCTTATCCAACGCAAAAGAATAGAATTTGTTCCTTTCTAAAGAACTAGAGAGTCTTTCATCCCGCTCACGTAGTTTGTCTTCTCTGTCCCTCAATAAAAAAGACAATCGGGAACCTTCATAGAGTGCTGAGGCTCTAGGGGAGTGGGACTTGTGTTCACCATCTTCATCAGAATCAGAAGGCACCTCGCCAGGTTCCAAATCTCGCACAGACCTCTTTCGCAGGCTGTCTCTTTTAATTATGCTATTTGGGAAGCTCACATCAAATCTGCTGGCATCTTGTTTCATTTGAGAGTCCCAACGGTTCAGTTCATCTTCAGAATTCAAGACAGATAGTTTTAGTTTGGCCATATCTGCCATCTGTTCTCTCCTGCTAGAATCATAAGGATTAAATTTTAAGGACTCCTCTCTCACTGTTATATTAGAATAAGGGAGGCTTTTTTCATCTACTTTAGGAGACCCTTTTCCTGACATTAGCCTAGGAGAGCCTAGGGGATCATCATCCTCATGGAAGGAACCATGGCGAACACTGGGAGAACAGCCTGTTCTTTCGGAATCCTCACTGATTTGGCGTGAACTCCTGTAATTCCGCTCTCTCTTGGTGCAAATATCAAAATCAACATGATCCATCCTTTTCTTTTTGCTGGGAGGAGAATCATCAGTGACATCCTGAGGAGGTTTGCCTACCTCATGAACAAGGCTGCGTCTTTCATATTCATCTACATCTTTCTTTGGACTGCCAAATTTCTCAGACTTGGCTATTTCCATTTCCATCTGCTGTTTTCTACGACTCTGCTCCATTTGTTTTCGGTAGCTCTGTGTGTGATCAATGTCAATGCCAATTTTTTCTTCAGGATTAACTGGATGTGGCTTCTCCTGGCCTGATCTCCGCTCAGGTGTTTCATCACGAAGACTGCAGTAGTTTTTCCTGACATCCTCTCGCTCTGGTCCTTGATCATCCAAGAGCTGCAGCTGTTTGAGCTGTGGTTTTGACGGGGTGGGCTTCTTTGACTGGATCTCTTGATTTTCCACAGATTCACCTACTGGTTCTCCCAGTCTTGTTTGTAGGTCTGAGCTGGGCCTTGAGCCAGACGCCACAGAAATACTGGCAAGCTCTTGACAGTCTTTGGGGCTGGGAACAGTATTAAGTCTGTCCAGCTTGATTTTTTTAGATTCTCTTTTAAGAATCTCTTTTCTCACAGGCTTTCTTTCAGTTTCTCCCTCCCTCATCAGAAGGACGTCTCTAGATGATACGTCAGACTGCTTTTTTAAAAGCACCCGAGCATCTTCCATCTCAGGACTGCTTTTCTTGACTTCTGTTTTTTGCCTTTCTGCTTTCAAACTAGAATCTGCAAAGCGCCTTTTCCTGGCTTCCAGCTTCTCCAGCTCCGCAGCACTCACGCCATCAGCAGTCTGCTCAGACTTGAGGTGCTTCCGAGGTCTAGGCCTGCCTTCCTTATCTACCACCTCAGTGTGACTCAAAAGCACCTTTTCCTTTGGCACTTTCACTCTGGCAGGTTCCAGTTTAGACAGGTCGGATTTTGCAGGCTCCGTCTGAGAGGCCTGAAGTTTCTGGTCTAAAGCAGAAGACTTGCCAGCGTCGTTATCCAGCCTGGTCTTGGGCTTCTCCAGGGGAGTGTGGTCGATGACCTTGCCCTCCTTCTCTTTCACTCGAGTCAGGACCACGCAGGGCATGAGATCCAGGCGGTTCTTTGCTATCCCATCTTTGTCGGCCTTTTCTCTGCTCAGTTTATTGGAACTCCTTGGTTTTTCGGGGCTCTGTTCTCGCTCATTTTCTTGGTCTGTTTCTGAAGACTGAGAACTAGGGGAATGGACTTTTCCTTTTCGTTTCTGCTTGTCGGTTTTGTCCTTTTCCACTTTTTCCTTCCGTATTAAGCGCCTCTCTCTGTCCACTCTCTCAGGGTCAAAAGTCCGCTCTTTATCTGTCTTTTCATTTTTGGCATAGCGCTCCAGACGACACTTGTCCACTTTATCGTACCGTGGTGGGGAGAGGGAGCTGCAGCTGCCACTCCGGTCTGAGGACCGGCTGTAGAGTCTCCTCTCAGAATCACTGGGCAGCCTCTCTGCCTGTGAGGGCGACGCACCAGGGCTCTGAGGCCGTCGCAAGTGCACTGGACTCTGGCTCCGCTCTATGGGCCTCCTCTCATGGTCTCTGTCCCGCTCAGACTCAAATCTTTCGCGTTCTCTCTCCCGTTCCCTTTGCCTGTAACTGTATTCCCGAATATCCTGGTCATAAGGATCATTCCTGTAATCCCTGTATTCCCGAGGATCGTCATAATAGCGTGACTCATAGTAGTCCCCCTGGTATGTCTCCCATTCTGAGTAGAATTCTCTTCCTCGAGCTGGGTAGTCCCGCCTGGAGTCCTCGGGATATGTGCCTGGAGTGCGAACACTCTCGTAGTATGTCCGATCTTGGTTATAGTCATAGGATCCCCTTCGTTCTTCTCTGCCGAAACACACAAAAAAGATGACATCAGTTCTTTTGTTCTACTTTTGCATTATACCACAGACATGAGATCAGGAAGTCCTGGTGCTAAGCATCTCTGACATTATCTAATCATGTGTTGAATTGTAGTTGCTCTCCAACACAGCAGCCACTAGACACATGTACCTCTGAGCACTTAAAATTTTACTAAATTGAGAAGTGAATGTAAAATATACACCAGATTTTGCACTTTAAAAATACACCGCAACGAAATGATAAATGTTTAAGGAAACTGAAACATTAATTACCCTGATTTCACCATGACATTGTTTACATATGCCAAATTATCACAATATACAACAAATGTTCAATTGTGTCAACTTCAAAAAAACAATTTTAAAAAAAATAAGCCTCAAGAATTTATTTAAATTGATTTAAAAACTATATATTAAATAAATTTAATTCCATCTTTCTTTTTCTTTTTTTGATACTTGGGATTGAACCCAGTAAGATCACATTCCTAACTTGAACTCACATCAAAACTTTCGTCCTCTCAGGTAGAAAGGGCTTGCTCATGCTAAGCAGAAGCCATTAGCAGGAGTGTACTCAGCACGTACACTCTACTGCAGTAACAATAGAGAATTTAAGTCCCCTAAAAGCACAGACTTTGTCTTCTTAGCCACAATTCCCTAGCTCTCATAGTAGTGCTTGGCACATTGAGGCACTAACATATTTGCTGAAAGAATGAACAAGAGAAAAATATGTCAAAACTGCTACTAATGTTCTAACCCCTTTGAATAGCAAATAAAAGATCCAACACTGAACAGGCACTGGAAGCATCACCAACATGTCATTATACACACTCATACTGAATTTTATTGGTTCACAGAAACTACTTTTTGGTATCTTTTTTTTTTTTTTAATTTTTTTTTTTTAATATTTATTTTTTAGTTTTCAGCAGACACAACATCTTTGTTTGTATGTGGTGCTGAGGATCGAACCCAGGCCGCACGCATGCCAGGTGAGTGCGCTACGGCTTGAGCCACATCCCCAGCCCTACTTTTTGGTATCTTGTTGACATTTGATTTCACTAGATTCAAAATGACTACCCCACAGCAATCAGATTCTTTGCCTAAACACTGACTAGCCATCTTATAAATAAATGTTACCAGGCACTCACTGCCATCATAAATACATATTCCAAGAAAGTACTGCTTTTCTGTATGAAGGTGAAGACACTACGTGCTTTCTAATATTAGAAAGAGAATAAGACATCCACCTAGAACGGACACTAGATGACTATCTGATCTTCAGCACCCTCCAAAAATGGGACAACAGAGACGGCCCTCCCTTCCCCCGACAGAACACTTGAAGGATCAAATGAAATACTGTTTTGTAAATGGCAAAGCCCTATAAAAATAAAGTTTTATTTTATTTATATTCCTGAGCTGAATCACAAGAGTAAAGCATCTTTTCCTTTCAGGCATCAACTAGTCACTGGGGTGACTCCCTCCACTCTGAGGGAAAACAAGGATCCTTGAGCTACCCTGCAGGAATCATTCCACAGGCACTGCCACCTGAAGACACCCAGGTCAAACTCAAGTCACAGTCAAGTCCTAGGCCCTCCTACTTCCTCTATTAGGAGATAACAGCCATTGGTCAGGGATAAATAACCATGAGAAAGCACCAAAAAAACAAAGACACGGTCAGAACACCCACACTACATTACCCAACCCTCTTAAGACATGGCTCTTTTTAAAATGTATTTCATGTTACACACACAGGATTTCAGTGGATTTTCAGTATCTTAGGTACAATTAGACCACCAAGACACCTTCTGCTCATGGGGAGAATTCCTGTAAAAATTTCTTTAGGCAGTTAAGTATTAACAATGCCTTTAAACTGCTATTAGGGAGCTGGAATGGAGAACTTTTTTTCTCTCTCTCAACTGACACACACATTCTCTTTCATGTGTATGTACAATCTATTGCATGCACACATGCACGTGCACCCACACACGACTGTGACAGAACAGCTTATCATTACTGGTTGTCCTGCTAGAGGACTTTTCTGGGTGGGGAAAAGGGGTACTAGAGATTGAACCCAGGGAAGCTCTACCACTGAGATACATTCCTAGCCCTTCTTATTTTTTGAGACAGGATCTCCCAGACTGGCCTGGAACTTGTGGCTCTCCAGTAACAGTCTCCCAAGTAACTGGACTTACTGTGTGTGCTGCCACGCCCAACAAAAACTGTTGATTTTTAATATTTTTTGAGTTAGTTTCTGGTTTATTTAGAGGTTGATCTACTAGGGAGAAATTTTAGAAAACTGGTGGTGAGGGACATTTTCATTTTCATTTTAAAAACTAAGTACTCAAAGACAACATTCCATGAGGAACTGACTCAAGAGACATATACTTTCTGTGATTTCAACAAAAATGAACTGGCAAGAGGCAGCAGAAGGGTGATGCATCAACATGCATCCTGATCATGTTGTTTCTGGCAACATGATCAGGATTTGGCTGATCTTTGTCACAGAGCTCCCTTCTTTATCTCAGGTGTCTCACTGCGTTTTCCACAGAGTCTTTTGTCTAGCATATGTAACAGGGGTGGAAACCTACTGTGACATTCCAGGAGAATTAATCACAGAGGCACGTCTGGACAAAAGGCTTTAACATATGCACAAGAGCTTCCAATTTCAAATGTAATCGGCTATTAAAGAATCTGATGGCATTATGTTAGGATGTTTTAATACACTGTCTAACCAGCAGAATAAATATCAAACAGTACATTACCATGACTGAAAAAGTTAACATGGAGAAATCAGGTTTACCTTTCACATTGTCAATGTCACCAATTTTCATGTGCTTTGGCTTATATTTTGTTTTGTGAAGCTTGTTATCCTCCTGCCTTAGCCCCCACAAGGAGCCAAGTGGCTGGAATAATGGGTGTGCACCACCACATCTGACTTATGCCTTGGCTCCCTGATTCACATTCATAAAGTATTTAAGAAGTGGGAAGGAATACTTGCTCAGTGGTAGTGTTTGTCTAGCATGCCAAATTCCCCGAGTTCCATCCCCAGTAAAACAACAACAACCAAAAAAAAAAAAAAAAAGTATTTAAGAGATTGAACAAAAACAAAGCTCTTGATATTCTTCTTTGAGAAGTAAGTATGTTTTTATTTACAAATTTTTATGGTGAAAAACCCGGAT